GGAAACACAACTGTTCCTGCATTTGGAAAGTAGCTTTATCTGAGATAATCCATTCCATAAACTTCCTCTTAAGGAGGGATGATCCAACTGATGGGCATTTCTTTAAAATACTCAAATGTCCTTATATGGAAAAAGGACCCTTGTCTTAGTTTCTTTTCCTTTTGCTCTGAGAAAATACTTGGACAAAAGCAATTTGCAAAGAGAAAGGCTTTATTCTGACTCGCAGTTCAGGTACAGCGAGCTCATTGCGGCAGGGAAGGGAAGGCGGAGGGAGCTCAAAGCAGCTGGTGGGTGGCGTCACAGCTATGATAGAAAGCAGAGAGGTGGTGGTGGAGGATTTTCTTTTGCTTTATCCCACGTTGGAATGCTAAAATGTTGTTTGTTTGTTTTTACTCTTTACTCGTTTGGCTTTTGTGGCGGGGGGGGGGGGGGGAATGCTACCAGGCTCCCAAATAAATCACACATGGAGACTTATTCTTACTGATAAATACCCGGCCTTAGCTTGACTTGTTTCTAGGCAACTTTTCTTTTATATTATCCCATCTACCCTTGGCCTCTGGGCTTTTTCCTTTTCTTTCTTCTGTGTATCTTACTTTCATTCTTACTCCACGACTGGCAATGTGGCTGTGTGGCTAGCATCCTCCACTCCTTATTCAGTCCTCTCCTCCCAGATTTCCTCTCCTATTTATTCTCTCTGTCTGCCAGCCCCACCTATCCTTTCTCCTGCCTCGCTATTGGCCATTCACCTCTTTATTAGACCATCAGGTGTTTTAGACAGGCAAAGTAACACAGTTTCACAGAGTTAAACAAATGCAGCATAAGAGAATGCAATACATCTTTGTATCATTAAAACAGATGTTCCGCAGCACAAACAAATGTAACACATCTTAGGATGATACTCCACGATATAGTGGAATGAAAGCGTTTTGCTGCTGCGCTCTCTTTTTCCAGTTACGTAGTCCAGGAGCCCACCATGGAGTAGCACCACCCACAGTGGGCAGGTCTTCCCATCTTAGATAACTCAGTCAGATAATCCTCTGCTCAGGCCCAGAGGCCCGTCTTCCAGGCGATTCCATAGTCTGTCAAGCTGACATTAACACTCGGCAGCATCTCTTTAAGAGAACCGCACTTAGAATTAATAAATAACTTGTGTTTAAAAAACAATAGACAGCCGGGCAGTGGTGGCGCACGACTTTAATCCCAGCACTTTGGAGGCAGAGGCAGACTGATCTCTGTGAGTTCAGGGCCAATCTGGTCTGCAGAGCGAGTTCTAGGACTCTTAGGACTGTTACATAGAGATACTCTATCTCAAAGAAATAAAAGAAGAAAAATAACATACATGTATGTTCAGTTTTATAGAAGGATGGACTTCTGTTTTTAGAATTCATTGCATTTTATTATTTATCATATTACAGTATTTTTACAATAGATCAAAGTGCATCAGTACAAACGTGGAGTCAGACAAAGCTAAAAAAATCCCAGGTGGTCTCTGATAATCTTATCTAAAAGACCTAGAGAACAAAAGAATATGCCTTTTCCTTAAGAAAGATTGAAAAGAGCAATAACTCAAATAGCTTATGCTTCAGTAGTAAATAAGAGAGAACATGGCTGTGTGGTCAGACAGTTATTTTTATCATCTAGGCATAATTTTTTAAAGAAACAGAAATCAATAGTGTTATAAAAGCCACTTACGCTCTGAGCTTGAAGCAACTGCTCTCTGCCGTAAAATTCCCCTTGCTGCTTCCGTTAGTGGCTGAGTAATTCAGTGTGTCTTGAATGTCAACGTTTTTATTACACAGCTGATGCTGGCTTTGCTGGATTAAATGTCGTTTAGAGTGATCAATTGGAAGCTTGTTTGGGGTTATTTCCAAATTTATGAAAGGGGTAAAAGTTGCACCACACAAATGTCCGTGAGGCTTTCCAGAGAAGTCTGTTGTCTGGCAAGCCCTGCCGTTGCCACTCATTGGACGTATCTGCAGTCACATTCTGGAACCCAGTTTGATGCCTCTGAAGAGACCAGCTTGAACCCCCAGGGCTGGGTAAGCCTTTAGCTGAAGAAGCCATTCGAGGGACGCTGTGTAGTTTTATGGTACCAGGAATGTGCCATGGTAGTAAGAGAGAGAAACTGTGATAGGAAATCCCTGTGCAGGTGGGGGCGGAGGTCAGGAGAGGTCAGGAGAGGTCAGGAGAGGTGTCCTCGCCAACCTTGAACTCTGCAGCAGGCCTGGAGCCCAGAGGACTTCAGTTGCCTTATGTTGGCCTTATTAAGGTGAACACACTAGATCCAGGCTTGGTAATCCTCTTACTGGGTAAGTGAAGGCAGGAGGATTCTGGAATGTACTGGCCAATCAGTCTGTTTGACCAGTGGGCTTCAGGGTCCATCCACGAAAGACCATGTCTCAAAAAATATAGTGGGTAACAACTGAAAATGCAGCGTTGATTTCTGACCTCCATGTGCACACGGACTTGCACTTAGGCACATGCACACATGGTTGCTACCACTCAGGCATGCAGACTGGACTGTGTGTACACCCTTGCTTCCCCTCACAGAATGGCATTTTGGGGGAATGTGCTTGGCTTAGGGAGATGTTTTGCAGTGGAGTGAGACTACAGGAAACTCAAATGTGCCCACCATTTGCCATTCGTGCCACCAAACCTGGACAAGGGAGCCTCAGCTCTGTTCTTGTCTTAGTGTGTTCAGGCTGCTTACAAAATGCCGTCAGATGACTTACAAACAACAGGAATTAGCCTCATAGGGTGCTGCACTCCAGTCACTCAGCACTCGGAGGGTTAAGATAGGAAGGCCACTCCAAGTTTGGGCTGTATACTGAAACTGTCTCCAAAAAAGCAGGAAGTATCGGAGAAGAGTGAGGAAAAGGGCGTAGAAAGGCTTGTGTCACAGATTTCTGGAGGCTGCAGGGCTGAGGGGCCGAGCACAGCTGGTCTGGGGCCTGCTGCTGAACGTGCTTCCTCACCCCTAGATAGCGTCTTCTTGCTGTGCCCTCACAGGTAGATATCTAAGGGATCTTTTAGAGATATTTTTTATAAAGGCGCTAATAGGGGCTAGAAAGCTGCTTGGGAATACTTGCTCTTCCTACAAAGACCTCAGGTTCAGTTACCAGCACCCACATGGCAGCTCCAAGTTTAGGGGATCCAGTACCCTCTTTTGGCCTTCATAGGATCCCACATGCATGTAATACACATTTATTCACACAGGTGTATACAGATACACATAAAAATAACATGCACATTCAGGCATGGGTCTTCTGTTACAAGCCATCTGGTCAACCCCCTGGAACCATGCAGTAAGCAGCTGGAACAGGCATCTTCTACTCTTAGCCAGGGGCCCGTCCAACATTAGCAGTACATGGAAGGTACACGTCTGTCTCTACTTTACCTGTTGGGCTAAGCTGGAGAATGAACCAGATAGACCCAGAAAGCCAAGGATCCTCTGGACTGAGCAGAGTGCAGGGCTACACTACATCATCTGATGAATGTTTACCGCCTGACCTCATCATTGGGTATCAGTTCTGCACATGAGAAATGGCTTTCTTGCACCAAGTTCCTTCCCACCATGATTCCATTATGATAAAGCAACTTGAAAGACCGCCAAAGAATGATTTAATGAGACTATCTGTATTTCTTTTTCAAATGCTAGCCACAGTCCCCGCAGCCAACGTCACCAAGCCACAAAGTTTTTAATTTCCCATCGTTTTTTGTTTATTGCTTTTTTTTTAGCCCCTGTCTTCTTCTATCCATTCAGCATCTCCTGCCAACTTCAGGATAATCTTTAAACTCTAATCTTTTAACTTTTTTTCATGCTGTTCTCATTAGAACCTCAAGATTTTCTTTCTGGTCTTGGGAAATGGGTCATTCAGTAAAGTGTTTGCCACATAAGCATGGAGACCTGATAGTGGCATCCCGGTACTCACATTAAGAAGTCAGACATGAAAGTGCATATCTGTAAACCCAGCTCTGGGGAGACAGAGACAGGAGGATTCCTGGAGCTTCTCTCAAAAATAAATGAATAAATAAGATAGATAAAGGGGCTGGAGAGGAGCTCAGAGGGGTAAGTGTTTGCTATGCATACAGAAAGACCCTAGTTTCAATCCCTAGCACCATGTAAAAGTCAGACATAGCCATGCATGGCTGTAACCCCAGAACTGGGGGAGAGTGATGGATACTGCTGGATCCTTTAGCTTGCTGGTCAGCTATCCTCATCAAAAGGGTGAGTTTCAGGTTCAGTGAGACCCTGGCTCAAGACAGGAAGGTGAATAATGATGGGGGAGGACACCCGGTGTCTCCTTGCTTCCTAGTGTGAATACATGTGCCACACACTCTGCCTTCCTAGTGTGTGCACGTATGCCACACACTCTGCCTTCCTAATGTGTACACATATGGCCACATGCTCTGCCTTCCTAGTGTGAACACATATGCCACACACCCTGGCTTCCTAATGTGTGCATGTATGGCCACAGACTCTGCCTTCCTAGTGTATACGCATACACCACACACACTCACATAGAAAAAGTAATAAGATTGAGAGTGATTGCGGAAGACACTTGTGTCAACCTCTGGCCTGCACAGACACGCACACACACATATACACACACGCGCGCACGAAGACTGTCTTCCATTGTCCGTCTAACCATTTTGTAGCCTGCCGTCAAAGCCTATTTATTCATTTGCAGGTATAGCTTGGTGCCTTATCCTTCAGATGGGCTGGTTCCCCTTCAGGTTTTGTCACTACTTTGAACAAGTCTTTTCTTCCTCCTTGGTCCTCATATAGAGGTGATAACCTCGGTCAGCACCCAGCCTTCCTGGGTCAAAGGTCAATAGGAGCTCGCAGGCTCTCTCTGGACCCGTTTCATCTGTGAAATGTGGAAATAAGACAATCAGTCAAAACCAGGCCCCAGCTGTGGTTACAAACCCTTTTTCTGAATCTTGTGACGGTCTCCACAACAATCCTTGTCAACAGAACTCTCCCTTTTCCTCTGTAGACTGTAGACTGCTTTGGGATTACGTCTATCAGTTGCTCTCCGACAGCCGGTACGAAAACTTCATCCGATGGGAAGACAAGGAATCCAAAATATTCCGGATAGTGGATCCCAACGGACTGGCTCGCCTGTGGGGAAACCATAAGGTAAAAAGGCCAAATATTTGTTTGGAAAGCTGGTGCCAAAATCGCCTTCCTCTGTGAGTTGGAAGATGGCTGTCTTCTCTGCCTCCTGGGTCTGCTCGTGATTATTTCTTTCCTCGCTGGACAAACAATTAGGTAGCTGTGCAGGAAGGAAATGATTAAAGATGCCTTTTTCCATGTGCTACCTCTGTCCAGGGCCCATTAATTCAGCAGAGCTCTGTTCAGTAGACTGACTGTAAGGGTCCCTCCCCCCAGCCACCCTCCTTGACCTGGACCTGCCTCCCCTGTGGTCCTTAGGTACTGGGGAATAGGGAAGTAGTGAGAGCTGTATGACTCACGAGGGACCTTTGGGAAGTGAGTGTCACTTCTGTCCCCAGCAGTTGGAAACTCCCTTTTTCACAAAAGTCCATTTCTGCATGGAAAATATGTTCTGATTATAAAACACCCTCTTTGCGAGCAAGAGGTGCAAAAGAGCCTGCCCCCACAGTTTTCCAAAGTAGAAAGAAGAAGTGGAATTCAAAACATGGTCCTGTATAGTAAGGAAGACGGTTCAAATGTGCAGATATGAAAAGGAGATAACTACGGCCAGGCCAGCTGACATAGAAGGAACTCTAGGACCAAACCGGGGCGGGGGGGGGGGCCCAGATACTGAGGTGGCACAGCTGGGCCTCAAACCTCCTAAGTAGGCAACCTGAGCCCTTCCCCAGCTTAGGAAGAGCAGCCAAAGGCCATGGGCAAATATGCTGAGGACCCGTAAACAGACCTGTAAGTGTGTGAGTCGCTGGGGGACCTTCTGTGTACTGCCCACCAACAATGACAGACCAGAGCCAAGTGTGAAAACGTCATTGCAACAGAAAAACAGAGAGTTTATGTGATCTAAGACGTGAAGGATGAACCACCTGTCTCCCACCCAAGATAGAAGAAGCTAGGCACCATCTCGGGAGAAGGAAGTGAGGGCGGTTACCGTGGGATGTGCTAGGCTAGTTAGCACTCAAGTAGGGCAGTTGAGTTTAAGAGGGGCCCTTGGCCACAGTGGCTCTGAGGGCAGGCAGCAGACTCGCAGGTGGAGTTCCCAGGCCGATGATATGGAGCAACTCAACAGCCTTTATTTTAATAGCTGCCTGGTGCCTTCTCTGTGCCTCGGTTCATTGTGTCTTTGTGCTTTATTTTTTTTCTCTTTCCCTTCCCCCTTTGAACAAACAGAACAGAACAAACATGACCTATGAGAAAATGTCCAGAGCCCTGCGCCACTACTACAAGCTAAACATTATCAGGAAGGAGCCCGGACAAAGGCTTTTGTTCAGGTAGCGCTTCCTCTTTTTCCTTTCCTTCTTTTGGGAGGATATGATTTTCCGTACATGAGAGGGAGGAGGGAGACAGTTAAGAACTCTGACACCCCTTGCTGAGACCCAAAGCCCTGATTGCAAATACTGTTGATTGGAAACTGATTGCTGGTTTGTTAGGATTTAAGGTTTAAAAAAAAAATCATTCTTTTTGCTTAAGTCTGCCCTGTATGAAAGCCAACGCTGAGTGACTCACCTTTAAAATAACATGGTGACCAAATAGCATTATCAGACATTGCAGTCTGGTGGAGTTAAGGGAGCTATCAGAATAACTATTGTCAATAGCAAAGTGATGGATTAAGCAAGAACTTCCAGGTCACCAGACCTGGAAGCTGCTTTGTCAAGCTTCAGGTCATGACCCACAGTGAGTCACTGTGTGGGTGTAAATGGTCAGCAATAGCCTTTTTTTTTTTTAAATGAAATAAAGAATACAACGTGGTGGAGTTGGAAATACCAAATTATAGCTCATCAAATAAGAGTGACCGTTAATTCATAAAGGTTTTGTTTACGTGTATGTATTCATATGTGTGTCCGCGCATGTGGAGGCTGGAGGTCAGCCTCTGATGTCATTTCTCAGGCTCTATCCACCTTGACTCTTGAGATGAGGCCTCACTGGCCTAGGCTGGTTAAGGACCCCTGGGGGATCTCCTGGCAGCTGGGATTACTAAGCGTATGCCACAATGTCCCCTTCTGTGTGGGCGGGGACCGAACTCACGCTTGCATGGCAAGTGCTTTACCAACTGAGCCCCTCAATTTGTATGACTTCCAAATGCGTCACGGTGAGAGAAGTGTGAAAGCCACTGAAGCAGGCTGCCGTCCCCCACCTTTTCAGATTCCCCATAGCTAACGGTTTCTGGCTGTTTCAGTTACCATGGAGATTGTGATTCCCAGCAGTAGAATAAGAGGAAGGGTCTAAAGGGCCACTGAGGATGGCGTAGATGAAACCTTTGGTCACTGAGGGGGCGGGAGGAAGTGAGATGGGTGAGTAGGACCTTAGGTTATAGGTGTTGCCAAGTAGGACAAAAAGAGCGACAGATGGGGTTGGAGATGGGGATTTGGATCGTCGGCGTACAGGTAGTGGAACATCCCTGTGTATGAGCGGTTGTGCTGATGGGAAAGTACTCATTAGGAGAGCAAGTAAGTCAGACATCAGCCCTGAGGTGGAGTGGCAATGTGGGGACAGTAACAGTCGTGATCATCTTCGAAAGAAGCAGAGAAGACTGTTGAAGAAATGTCAGTAAAACATAATAAATGCAGAAGAATGCTCCCAGCTCAGGTCACCCCAAAGTTTTAGCTCCCTGTTCTTTTATCCTAGACGACTGGATCCCACTACGCTCAACTTCGTCACCTCAGTCATTAGTCTTAAATATAACTCGATTAAAAACCCTCCTGAAATTTCCAAGATTCTTGTATGAAGTGCCCACTAATACCACGTTAGTACTCCAGACATGGTTTCTGAAGGTGGGCATCGTGGCTGAGGAATTCCACCCAGAATGCTCTGCTCTCACCAGCTTACCATCACTGTTTAAATAATCTTGAAGCCGGAGCCATCTTTGACTGTCTCTATGTCCATGTCAGTCACTTCTCTACACTGTCTACTGGTCCTGCAGCATGGCCCCTCTCCAATTCTGTGTTGAGCGCCTGAAGCCTGGCAGCTGCATTTCCCAGGGATATGCATTTCCCAGCCTGTCTCAGGTTGAAATCTGTGATAAACGCATTCATAAAATATATGATGGAGAGGAAATGCATTGTGGTTCCTCTGCCAGACATATATATCCCCTTAATTTTTTACATACGCTCTAAGCCCACCTTCAAGACCAACTCAAGTTGACTGTCCTTTATGAGGCCCTATTCAGCTGCCCAACCACACATAGATACCCACCTTACCATGTCCTGGTTTCCCTGTGTCTTTGAGTACACCATAGCATTCATTTTTAGCAGTATGTATGGGGCTGGAAAGATGGCTCAGTTAAGAGTGATTACTGCTTTTGCGAAAGCCCCAGGCTTCGTTCCCAACACCCACACAATGGCTCACAACCACTTATAAACCCAGTGCCAGGGTGTCTGATGCCCTCTTCGGGCCTCTTTTCAGGCTCCTGAATGCACACGGCACACATAAACTCAGACAGGACATAGACATATATAAAAATAAATCTTTAAAACACCTTTAGCAATTGTGAATAGTATCGTTTAATAATATGTGTGGAGGCTGGAGAGATGGCTCAGTAGTTAAGAGCACTGGCTGTTCTTCCAGAGGACCCAGGTTCAATTTCCAGTACCACATGGCAGCTCATAACTGTGATTCCAGTTCCCGGGGATTCAACACCATCACACACACGCATGCAGACAAAACTCTATTTACATCTAAAATTAAAAATAAATAATTATTTAAAAAATAATATATGGAAAGCCTTCCTGGCCACAACTAAACCATAAGCTCCTAGGAGGTAGAGTCTTCAGATTTTATTTAACTCTGTGTATCCATTAGGGAAAGTTTCAGTAAACATTTAATGACCGGCCTGATATGGAATATCAGAAACTTACCATGGCAAAGTTGCCCAAAGTTGCCAGGGCGGTTTTGAAGGCCGAATACAGTGTATTGTAAAGTTGGCCTGGGAGGATCTTGAGCAACTTCAGATGTTGAGGGAGAAGTTTTGGCAAGAAGACGAAAGTGAAAGACAGACAGTAGCCGCTGTGTCATGCACTGCTCGGGGACCTTAGCCGTCTGGAGCAGAAAGGAATGTCAGTAGCTGTGGAAGGTCCTCCACTTTCCGGGGAGAGGCTCTGAGCAAGAGAAAAGAAGATGCTGTTAGAGAGGAAGCCAGACTGGACAAAATGATGGCTTGCTGGTATATAGCTCGCTGCAATCAAGTGCAGTGGAGTGTGGTCGGTGTGCTTCAGGATGCTTAGGTCAACTGCGGTATGTGCCTCTGGAAGGAGTCCAGAAGGTTCCAGATCAGAACAATGCTGAAAATTTGCAAAAAGGCATGAGCCATGGTTTCCGTCAGGACTAGCAGACAGGAATGGTGAGTTAACGGAAGCGAACAGTGCACAAACAAGTGTTTCTTGGGGGCAATGGCAGATGGGTCCAAGACTGCATCTCTGCCTTGGGGGAATGAGAAGAAAAGCGTGTTTGAACGTAGTTCACAGGTGCAGGGCAGAGCATGGAAAATGGGAAAAGTGCAGACGCTGTGGAGGCTCAAGAAAGCCTCGTTCCCCACCCCACCCCCAAGGAAAGACGGGACATTTGCAACCAGGCTCCCTCCCTGCACTGTGCATCTTTTGGAACACAGACTCTTTTAATCTTTCATTTCCTGCCCTAAAGGTTCATGAAAACCCCAGATGAAATCATGAGTGGCCGGACAGACCGTCTAGAGCACCTCGAGTCTCAGGAGCTGGATGAGCAAGCATACCAAGAAGACGAATGCTAAGGACCCACCACGGCCTCACCGGCTGGCCAAGAAGAAACCTGCCCACGGGGACCGCTGGAGGCGTGCTGGAGCAGGCGGGCTGGGGATGGCTAAGAAAGAAGAGGCCCAGGACCGGCAGGAACGCTTCTCTTCCAGACTGAGAGGGACCCAGAGCACCTTAGACAAACCACCCAGCAACGGCGGGGCTGGAATTCTGGCGGAGGGCACAAGCCTGAGACTCACATGTCACATTTGCGTCTCCTTTGGACCTCTTGTCCTTAGCGCCTCACCCTCACCCCGCACCTGTTGTTAGTCTCACGGTGTTTCTGTTTTAGTTTTGTTTTTTTTTCTTTCTTTTTTTTTTTAGAACATGCAGTTTGACTATTCATCGTTCATACAGGGGAAGACATCACATGTTGTTTTCCTATGGAAATATATCTATTATATATATATTATTTTTTATGCAAATCTCACAAAGTACGGCCAGCTCAGCTGGTCAGGAAAGAGACTTGCAGAAGGGATCAGACTCCTCTTCCTCCTGCCACATGGATCAGGTTTGTCCTGTTGCGGTTGGGTCTTGGATGAGAAAAAGAAAGAGAGAGAGAGAGAGAGAGACTTTCAAAGAATGAAAGAGAAAGTTCTCTCTGTCTCCCTCCTGCCCCCTTCTCTCATTCATCCTGTCCCCCTCCTTCTGCCTTCTCTGCCTGCTGGTCCATGTCACATGCCTTTTAGCAGACCTAGCCTCACTAGCACCTAAGCTAAAGAGTAACCCGGCTGTTCCGTGGCCATCAGCCCACAACCAGACCCCTGGAGCACCCATCTGAAGGAGATCAAACCCCTCACAAATGCTGCTGTATTTCAGAAAGATCAGTGGAGGTCTGGTTATAAGATAGGCCAAAGGCTGGCCCAGTGATGTGGAAGGCCTTGGCAGCTTGGGATTATACTGAAGAGAGCGCCACAAAGTGGGAAAATACAAGAAGCTCACACAGACCTAGTGGTCCAGGATGTAGGCAGAGCTATTCTGCAGTGAGGAACAGGTTGTGGAGGCTGGGAGGAAGCAGAGCTGTCGGTTTCATTCCCAAGACTTCTTGCCCTTGTGGGATTGCTGCCACCCCGACTCCAAGTCCTAGCCTTTTGTTGCGTTTCTTTGCTGGTCTTCACTGAACATAGAACACAGAAGAGAGGACCCTGGAGTGCAGACTCGGCCACAGCCGGTATCTGCACAGCCAGCACAGACGGGAAAGTCCTCATTTCTGCTCCTGTCATTGCTGTATTTCGAGAAGACATATCTGTGGCTTTTTTCACCTCAACATAAGGTCGGTAGTATCTTCTAAGATGAGGGGAATGCTATGCCTTAGGACTTTTGATAGCAGAGATTTTTAGATGACTGTTTAGCTTAAAGGGAGATTTGGGTTTTGTTTTGTTGGTTTTTCAAGACAGGGTTTCACTTTGTAGCCCTGGCTGTCCTGGATCTTGCTTTATAGACCAGGCTGGCTTCAAACTCCGAAATCTGTCTGCCTCTGCCTCCTGAGTGCTGGGATTAAAGGTGTGTGCCACCACATCCAGCTTTTTCCCCTTTTGTGACCGTTCAGATGAACTCTTTGAACGGCAATGTTTTTAACCCAGATGATGAGGCCTTATAAACCACCACTTGTCTCTCCTTTGTTCTTCTGCACCCTCAGTGAACATCTCCCTACCCTCGGTGTGTGTATACTCAACCAGAGGCAGTACACAGGTGAAGCTGGCAGAGCGGAACTGCCCTCCAACCATTCCAAGTGAGGCACATAGAGGCTCGGGGTAACGTAGAGACTAGGAGCCCCCAGGCATTTCCCTCTGGGCCTCGCTCCCCAGATATCAGCCCACAGACGTGCGGACTGTGGTTCAGATACTGGAACTGAGCTGATCGGGCTGCTTTAGTCTTCTCTGTGACTCCCGAGTCTCTCCCCCATCTGCCTTCCAAGAGGTCAGTGACCTCCTGAGTGAAGGGTTTGGGCTTAGTATTCATTCGTGGGTGGAGACGAGAGCCACACGCTATGTTTCTTGACATAAAGCAGGCGATACTTTTTTTTCCCCTTGGCCTCTAAAATGACCGGTACCTTATCTCAAGTGGAGAGATTAAGCCAAATACTTATGTTGTATGAACCCCTGGGTTGAGCTAGAGAGAAAGGGCAGGGTTTTTGGTTTTTGTTTTGACTGAGATCCAGTGTATGACCATGAAATGAGAGATTAAGGCACCTCATTCTTCCCACTTTGCCCACATGCAGAACCCAGACTCTCACTGTCCAAAGAATTTTCCAGACTGACTGGGGAAGAAAATTCCCTTGTTCCCTAAGGACCCTGGATTAAAAGCATATGAAAGTATGTAAGGCTTGGGACGACAGCTTCAGCCTCTTATGTTAGAAATGCTCATTGCAGTGCGGTTGTTACTTCCCACCCGGTATTTACAGTAATGATTTACGCTGGTTCTCCTAACAGCAAAAGTCCTCATTGGTTTTTTTGGAAAGAAGACAAGGCCGGTGTTGTCACCAGGCGTACAATGCTCTCTCGGGCTGCAGACTCAGAGGGTTCAGATCTAGCCAATCACACCCTGGAGGGAATGCCACTATGAGGGCTTTGGGGTTTTCTGTGTGCTTTTTTTCCATCTACCATGATCTTCTAGCTCCACATTAAGCTCAAGAGGTGATGGAACCAAACTAAGAGCTCATGTATCAGATGACTAGGTGGCCTTTCTCTGTGGTTTTCATGGGTTGGGTCAGGAAAGGAATTGGCAAGAAAGCATTGCCATGTGGAAAGTAGACATTGTCACTTAGGTCCTGGAATTCTCTGTCCCGTGTCCTTGACCAGGTGGTCTTCAGGTCTCCATCAGAAGAAAGCAGGGGTTAGATGTTGACAGTGACTTCTCTCAGATCTTCTCGATCCAAAGCAACTTGGTGACATCCAAAGTCAGTGTCACTAATATTCCGTACCCATTTTTGGTTTTTTGTTTTCTTAAGGAGAAGGGGGTCTCATAAGAAAAGAACAAAACAAGCTATAGGCTGCTGGCGGTTTCTCCTTGCCCTCTGACCAAGCGTCTTTCACACTAAACCCTTGTCCAGATAGGAATGTCACTTCAGCTGACATTAGATGTCTATGAGAGGACTGAGTGGCCACTCTGCCTCCTCGCACTGTCAGGATCCAACCGTAAGCACATGTTGGCACATCCACTGTGTTGGCAGAAGAGAACCTGAGAGAGGTCGTGTCACTTACCCTGGGAGCAGACAGCGTGACACGAACAGAATTAGGATCGGGCTCCAACCTGAGTGTTTAGAATGCAGCTAGAAATTATACTGGTTTTAAAGCCCCATCTGATCCATCCCCAGCAGAGAAACTAAAGACACAAAGGGTGGTTTTCACTGCCCAGTCATTCGGTGCTAGATTGGAGCTCAGCCTGCTCCTCTTCTGGACAGAAACCTAAATTGAGTGACACATGAAGCCAATGGGGCGGGAGCTCAGAGGACCACCCGGGCTCCTGCCCACCTGCGAGGCATAGAGAACCAACCCAGAATTCTATTGGCCCCATCCGCATCAACACTAAACAACAGCGAACTCCCGGCCTCTCACCCTCGCAAGTGAACACTCTTCTAAAGATTTCTCTTTGCGACTGCACCCACCTGCAAGCCAGATGAATCTAGAATGAATTTTTGTTGTTGTTGTTTAGTTTCTAATCTCTTGTTTATGAGGTGTGGGGTTTATAAGGGACTGAATCAAATGAATGTAACAAAAAAGAAGAAAAAACAAACAAAAAAATGCCTTTTCTCAGGGCCAGTGAGTTGCAAATAATTTTTAAAGAAAAGCCTATAATTACATCATCTCAATAAATTTTTTTATAAAAAAAAATAAAGTTCCAAGTCTCTGTTTTTAATAATGTGAAATGGAGTCAGACAGGCAAGGTACTGTGATGATGTAAATCCTGTCTACTCAATTATGAAATAAAGTGCAGTCCCGGTTTCTCCTGGCAGGAAGCTGCCATTACCCAGCAGTCTGCAGGAGAGCTTTAGACAAGAGGCCCCAGGAAGGTCACAGCAGGTCACTACTCTGAGAGGCTGCCACAGGTGGAAAAATCTGCCTGAAGGAACTCGAGTCAGCTGTGCCAAGGATGTACCAGGTCGCTGAACAGTCCGGTGGGAGCAGGTTGAGTGACCCTGGTTGGGTTGTACCTGCAGGGTAGTCGACACATAAATGTGAGGGTAGCATCCTTGGCCAGACCCAGCCCTCTGGAAGCCTGGAAGGTCAAAAGACAGCACTCTGTCTCTGCTGTACTGGTAGGACCACCAACCAGAGAGCCCCTGAGATTTCAAACTCCAACCGCACAGCAGGCTATGATGGTACACAGGGAAGGTGGAGGCAGGAGAATTGGGGTTGGTGTCAACCTCGGCTGATAACACCTTCAAAGCCAGGTTGCATGGGAGCTTATCTCAAAAAATACACTACAGATCACACATAACAGGCCCTACAAGTATCTGTTCGCCAGCACAATGGACAGAGATTCAGAGAACGAGAAAGGAGGCAAATGGCGGCCTCCCAGCAGCTCAGACGTAGGTTTGGAACACGGGAGTTTAAAATGATCTCAGAATAGGTCGGATTGCTGCTCTCTTTGTGTTGTTCCGGGGTATCCCTGGGCTGGAGTGCTTTAGGCTACGTCACAGTGTCTGGGGCGCTACAGTGCCTTTGACTCTGCAGTTTCTGATTATTCTCAATCTGAACCATCTGGGAGTTGCTAGCAATGCAGGCTGTCAGTTGGGAATTCCATACTGGGGGTGGCGCCTCCAGAGGGCCTCCCGGTAGTGCTGCTGTGTGCTGAGGTTTGGTACTCCTGGTTGATCTGTTCACCGGGCTACAAGGGGGCCCCCAGCGTCCGAAGTGATGGTGATTCATTTGCATCGTGTGTACACACAGACAGTCAGCCACATGTCTAAGCAGACATGGACTGCAGAACGAGGCCAGGCAGATGCATAATCATACAGAAAGTCAAAACGCTCCATCCAAACCTCTTCAAGCAATCTGCTCTAGAGATGAGCGCTTCTGAAGGGCAGCTGGAGCTGGTGAGCTGCCCTTGCAAATTGCACGGTCATTTATCTGCTTAGACCCGCTCGCCTGTCCAATCACCCTAATCTACAACAAAGAAAGGGAGCGCTGCCACCTGTCCTGTCCGTGGACTGTGGCTCTCTGTCTAGAATTACTGGCCAGAGCCTGAATCAGTGTGCGACTGGGTGTTTGCTGAGGGCTCCTCGGAGCACAAGGCTAGACCACGACTGCGCCAGCCTGAAAGTGCTTGTTAATCACCTGGGGATCTCAAAAAGAATTTTGTTTTGTTTTGACATGGCCTCATGTAGCCCAGGGTGGCCTCCAACCCCCTATGTAGCTAAAGATAACCTTGAACTTCTGGTTTTCCTGCTCCCATCGCCCAAGTGCTGGGATTACACGCATGACCACCATGCCTGGTTTATGCAGTGCTGGGGATAGAATTCAGGACTTGAGGCCTTCAAGGTAAGCACTCTGGCTGCTGAGTTATATGTCCTGATCTGTGCTCCCTCAATAACGTTAGGACCCACATCTGTTTCAGTACAGTATCTATGGGCAGAAGAGCCTTTGTGCTTACTGTTGTCTCTGGGTGGAATTTAGACTCTGTACCCTGCTGCCCCCTTTCATGCTGAAAGCTGAGCCCAGGGCTTGTGCATGCCGAGCAAGTGCTCTACCACTGACCTCCATCCTCAGCATGACTCTGCATTTCAGACAAGCTCTAGGGGATGCTGCTGCTGCTGGGCCTCAGAGCACACTCTAGCGAGTGCTCAGTGATTTCCACACAGGCACAAGACTCTGACCCTACTGCTAGCCTCGGCAAGCCCATCTCATCACTGGTGTTCCCTCCCTAAGATCCCTTCCTGCAAGAAGGTTGCTTCTTCCCAAGGGTAGCATCGAGAGGGAATGTCATAGAAAAGCAGCATTGCCAAGTGGGGAATGTTAGCATTTACATACAATACCTGGATACGGGTGTTCATAAGCAGATGCCTAACAGCTGTCTCCCTGTCACCCCTGCCTGTCTCTTGGCCTTCACTGTGCAGATACAGCGCTGTCCCTGATGCTCTAAAAGGCATGAGGATTGATGGGTAGATCTTCCATCTGGGCTGTCTATGATGTTGACATTCAAAGCTTGCAACCTTTGGTCAGTGTACACATTATCAGTACTTACAGGGCTAGGGAGATGGCCCATTGGGTATAACACTTGCAATACAGGCGTGAAGCACTAGATTTTGGATACCCCAGATCTTACGTCAATGCCAGGTGGCAGACTGCCTGTAATCCCTGTACTTGGACAGCAAGGATAGAGGATCCCCTGGACAAGATGGCTACCTATGTTAGCTATCTCAGCAAGTTCTGAGTTCATC